TCAGGCAGCTTACATCTGTGACATCAGATGGCTTACAGCTCAAACCGCTGGGGATCTAGCTACCTATTCGAGCATCTGGGGGAACCCCCAGACACCACACACACACACACACACACACAAAATAAAAATAAAAATAAAAATAAAGTGGGTAGCAGGTACATTGAAAAGCATCAGGCTGGGATGCTCTTCCCCACTGAAGAAAGCAACTGGATTCAGAGCCCAAGGACTCAGGCCCTAACCTAGTCCTGTTGTAATGGGCACATGTCACTTTCTTTACCCAATTCTCTGTCTTCTGCTGAGAAGATGTGAGTGCATTAGTTTTGGGGGGCCTTCTGAGTCTTCAGTTCACAATTCCAAAGCAGAACTTAAAAACACCCAAATGAGGACGACCTGTTTAAAGGTCCTCAGCAAAGTTAATCCTTACTCCGCTGCCTGACACAAACCGTATCTTCTGAATCTGTCTCTGTGCTATCTTCAAAGACCAACATGCTGAAGCTCACTGCTTTACAGTCACAAATTTATTTTGGCCCCATTTGACAAGCCCTAAGTTGGTTGTCTTGTCATTTATTAAAACTCATCCTGATGGGGCTGGAGAGATGGCTCAGCAGTAAAGACCTAGTACTAGCTGCTCTTGCAGAGGACCCAGGTTCGATTCCCAGCACCCACATGACTGTCTGTAACTCCAGTTTAGGGTATCCGACATCAGCTTCTGACCTCCATGGGCATTGCACAGCATAGGTGCGCTGACATGCATGCAGGCAATACATACACACTGAAAATAAAATTAAAAAAAAACCAACCTCATCCTGAATGGCTCATGGCCATTTCAAAATTCATACCCATGTTAAAGCAGGAAGATCTTCAGCCACCCAGGCCATCCAAAAGACACTACCAGCCCTACCTCCAATGACTGGCCTCTACAGTCCTTTAAGTAAGGAGCCTCTCTGTGCTGCATGACTGTCCCCACCCTGCCACAGCTGACCGGACTCAAGTGAGTACCTGGCTTTAGTTGAATGAATCTAACTCCCTCTCTGGAACTTGAAAGACACAGACCAAGGAAGCTTGGTGATCACTGACCCCGAGGGCTGTAAGGTCACAGTTTCATGTAAGTATTGTGTCATCAAGTCACAAACACTCACCAGTCAAAGATGTGGAGGAGCAAAAACCAAGAGCCTTGCAGAGCAAGCTATTCTATTCTGCACTGCTGAGGTGAGGCCAGAAACCAGTAATCACAAAATCCCAGGAAGAGATGGGAAAAGCCTGACTACTTTCCAGATTCAATGGCTACATTTCCTACACGTGGGCTGCCTGAAGTCCTCTGTATTCTGCCAGTGACACTCCACACTGAGCCCATCTGCATTTCAGTTCACTGCAAGGAAAAAAACCTAAGGCCAGGTCTGACCCCAAGCTCTGTGGGAGCTATCATGGAGGCCAGAAGATAGAGGTGGCACCCAGCAAGACCAAGTGTTGGGTGCACTTAGCTAACAGGCTGAATTAATGAGCAAAAGCTGCTTAAGGAAGGCTTTGTTTACAGCAGGCCACTAGAAGGGTGACTGTATAGTTCTTACATCATATGATAGTTATATCCTGTGATAGTGACATCACAGGATGACACTGTGTGTAGACAGCCTCTAGCTTAATGCTCACTTCCCTATCATTTGATAGTTGATGCCGAAAAGAACCCTAGAAACATTCTTATTTCACAGGTAAGGCAATGGAAGTTCAGAGAGCTCAGGGAACTTCTCTGTGCACCTTCTAGAAGGAAGGTGCTAAGGGACTACCCTAAAGTCTTTCCCTCCTTCTGTCCCTCCCTCACTCCCTCCCTCCCTCTCTCCCTCTGGTATTGAGGACCTAACCCAAGGCTTGGATCATGCTAGGCAACTGCTCTACATCCCCAGCCCTATTTTTACTTTTTATTTTAAGAAAGCTCTCATAAAGTTACCCAGGCAGAACTTGTGATTCTCCTGCCTCAGTCTCCTCAGTAGCTAGGATGACAGGCCTGGCTCTAAGTTCACACAGCAACCCAGCAGTGGCATGCTTTCTAGACAAGGGAAGTTAAGAGGCATTCTCTGGAATCTGATCTCAAGTGAGCTGGTGTCAGAAATCCACATCAAAGGCAGTGGCTCTTCAACCTGGCCCACAACAGCTGTTCAGTGTAGACTTCTGGTTTGTGTATCCAAAGCCAAAGCCACTGATACTGAGAGACCCATACAACAGAAATGGTCCTCTCTGGTCTAAAGAAGGCAGCCCACACCTCATGTGGTATTCAGGCCAATCTAGTCAGGCTCTTCCTGGCTATTTCTATGAGGCAGGTGGTGTTCCCTTCCACTAGCTGTCAGACAGCTCTGATTTAAGTGTCAAAGCTCAGCCCAGATGTCACCACCCCTTTGGGTCATCCTTAGGTCTCCCTCTCTAGCAAAGCTGACTAGGCTCTCTCTCTTACCACACTCTGTCATGTCTATGAGGATCCTGCCATACTCTAGTAGAAAACCACACATTCCTTCCCTAGCTCCTCCTCCAGAATAGGTACAGCTCTATAGTCACATGACCAAGAGCAGTGCTGGTTCCTGGCATTCAGTTAAGGCTCAGGAAGAACCTGTGCCCACTTTAACCCCGTGGTCCTGGCTTCTTCCACACCCACAATCCAGGGCTAGCTCCCAAAAGGCAGGAAGCAGGAACTGTTTCCTATCATATCCCACTGCCTTCCAATCAGACAGTATCCCCATATTTAAAATTCTGTTCTCATGTCTACCGCTAGAATAAGTCCTGATGGGGAATTGAGTTAAAGGGGAAAAAGCAATCTCTCCTTCTTCCCTCTGGAAACATTAGGAGGGAGAACATAGTAATACTTCCTGGATAATTAGCACTCCCAGGATGAAGGATCTCCTTGTAGGGAAGCCTCTAGCAGAGTTTGCTTACTCTTCATTTTCATTTTAGAGAGGAAGTAGAAAATTAGGTCGAAGCAATTCAATAACATTGCAAAATTCTCAGGGTTATAAATAGCCTCCTGCTCCACTTCTTGGCTAATGTCCAGAATAAGGGAGCTGGGGTTCCACTTCGGGACCCCAGAACTCTCTACCCTTCTCCCTCCTGCTCCATTTATCCATTGCCTGGGTGGTGCTAGGCAAGCTCTCACACAGAGCAGCCCCCAAGCCCTGCAGCCTCGAAGGCACCACAGATGCGATGAGATCTGTACCACACTGAAGGCCATGAAACAGGAGAGGCCGCTACAGATCTGAAAGGAATAGAGCTGAGCAGCAAAACAAAGAACAGGTTCTCCAGTGGAACTGTCTACAAGTGGCATCTGGAAGGGGCACCATCAAGAAAGGTCCGTGGAGCTTCATCCATCACTCCTGTAGGGTAGCTTTGGGTTGAACCTGCCCCTGCAACTGGAAAGTCCAGATCAGAGACTGAAAGACAATCCCTCACAGGAGAAGCCTGGGATGGAGGATCCAGAAGGTTCCCAGCACAGCCCCAAGTCCCCACCATGGGATCCTTGTGTGCTTTCTGTTCTGTTCTATTTGCCACACAGTGGGGGAGGCCTGGGTGAGCTTGGTTTATGCTTCCTGCGATAGAGAGAATGCTGCCTCACCAAAGAGGTAACTGGAGGTCACACCCTCTTTCTAATCAAGAACACAATCTCAGAAGAGGCTCTCCCTAAGATCTCATCAGAGAGTGACTCAATTTTCCTCAGTTCATTCTCATTCAAGAAGAGTAAGGCCCTGAGGTACAGAAGTGGGACTACAATAGGCCCAGATTCAGGTTCTGACATCCACTGCTAGAAAGCCAGGTGAAACCCACTGGACCCACAGCAGCTGAGAGGTCTGCTTTGTACTGACACCTGAACATAAGTCTCACCAAGTATAGCTAAGAGCCACTATGCACAAAGACAAAAGCATGTGGGAACAGGTAGTGTCTGGGCAGCTCCCCTGAACTCACACTCCCAGCAGAGGCCTTGTGGAATTTCTACATTACAGAGCAGTCTGTAAACTGCCTCCATTGAGCATCCTAACAGTCCAGCTCCTTGGTGGTGTTCAGACTTCCCTAGTTCCTTGAAACCACGCTAAGCCCACACCTTTGCTGGGCCATCAATCCTCCGCCTAGTTTGACTAATCAACTTGTCTGAGCTGGGCCTGTGGCTTCCTAATAATCCCCTCAACTGAGATCCAGGCAATGGTGCCCTCAAGTGTTCTGCTAGTCCTTAGCACACCTTCAGGAGCACAGACTTCATAATCCTGTGTGAAGTCTAGCCTTGCTACTGGAGGTGTGGCTAACGGATGCGGTATGCCCAGAGTTGGTACTAATGCACAAGCACCCTCCAGCCCAGATCCTCTGGATTAGGACCTGCCTTCAGATGCAAACTCCTTCAGATGCAAACTTTGAGGGTTTCTGCGGGCTCCAGATCTGAGGCTCTTCACTCCAGTGGCATCACCGAACCGAACCCCACCCCCCATGGTTTTAAGGAGGCTGGGGTTGAGGCCCAGCTCCAGGAAGGGAGCCACCAGAGGCCAGGGCCTCAGAAACCTACCACCTACAGGCACCCTAGTTTCAACACAATCCCCAGCACAGAGCTGTGTCCACAGAATTCCACCCCAAAATACCCTCAGGGCTATCTTGGAAAGTGAATAAACTATCAGTGGCTACATTATCCATAGCCTAGAGCTTTCAAATCCCTGGCTACAATTACCCAGGCAATGGATTTACAAGGGATCAGAGTTTAGAGAGGGAACAGAAACTGAAATACAAAATCCAGATGAACTTTAAGAAATTGTTTCTCACCAAAAGATGAGCCTGGCTGCACAAGAAAGAAGGAGGGTGTGGCAGGCTGGGAGTGCCTGGGCTGTCCAGAAAAGCCCAGGCTGTGGGCCCAACTCCTTCAACAGTGACCATAACAACACAGCATTGTTCTCAGAAAATTAGGCCAAGCTTCCCTTTCATTCCATAAAGAAGGGAACTGAGGTCCTGAGGAGCAGGCCAGGCTACCAGTTAAGGACAAAAAATGGCCCAGTCTCTACTTCCACATCAGTCTTCTCCCTGCAGCAAACAAGCGTCTCTAGACTGATCTAGATGCGAGGGTGGGCTGTTTTCCAGGTTAGGTTCCTCCAGCCCTGACCTATCTGTGAAGCAGTGCAGCCCAGCATTAAAGCTTGCATTCTGGAGAACACACCTGGATATGAATCCTAGCACATGTGCATTTAGATCTCAGCTCTGGTGACTTCCTTACTGTAAACCTGAGATGTGGACCCAGCCATTCCTCACAAAGTTGTATGAACATTTCAGGATAATGTATGCAAAGCACTTAACATAATACCTAGCACCCAGTAAGAATAATTCTGTGTGAACTTGAAGAAACTGCAAAACACTAAAACCTCCTTTCCTTCACATTAAAAGCCCTGCCTGCCCTGCTGTGGTATGCAGTGGGCAAAATGGGAGGACATGAGAGCAAGCGGGAGGAAAACATGAAGAGAAAGCAAAGCAGCAGTCCTTAGTGCTAAAGAACCTTGGGGCACAGAATAGATACTGGGCCAGTCTTTCCTAGTTATTCAGATTAAACCAGCTAGCCCAACCTGCATGTGCCCTAAGGCAAGCGCCTTAAGCAGCCAGCGGGAAAGTAAATAAACCAAGCAGCCTCTACCCAAGAACCAGGCAATCTGTGAAGCACCACCCTGCCTAGGAGTTCAAATTCAGTATCTGAAAAAAAGTTATGCAGCTGGGCCAAGATGTCACTAGGCAGCTTCTGACACACAACGGATTCTGGTTCTCACACCATGTGAAGTCTTGCACATCAATTCATTTCATGGGATCCAGTCATGTCCTTCCAAGTACACCATATGCACCCTAAAGATAAAGGCTGTCACTCGCTTTCCAGGCAACCTCAAGTGGCCTAGAACAGTGCTGGTCTCCTGGTGGGCAATGAATGAGCAGCTGGTGAACTCACTCTTGACAATTCCAGCCCAGCATCCCCAGCATCTCTGAGATGCTGCAGGTCATGGAAGGTTTTCTGCCCTCTGGAACCAGGCTGCATTAGTGTATGTGAGGGATGGTGACTCGGTCACAGGAGAACCTGCCTTCAGGGTTCTTCTCTTTCTCTCCCAATGTTGCCCAGGCTGGTCTTGAACTTCCGTACTCCAGGAATCCTTCTGCCTCAGCCTCTAGTATGCTGGGACCAAGACCAGAACAGGTTTTCCCTAACTGCTTGCGAAGTGCCAAGGAAGGTGTAGCTGATACATGCAGACATTACCTAGGCATAGAGCAAGCTGGAGTAAGCTAAGTATCAGTGTCCGTGTTTTTTGTTTTGTTTTTTAATTTTTTAAAACTTTATTATTTTTATTTTATGTGTATGCGTGCATTGCCTGCATGCAGGTAAGTGCACCCATGTCGTGCGATGCCTGTGGAGGTCAGAAGAGGCTGTTGGATCCCCTGGAACTGGAGTTAACAGACAGTTGTTAGCTGCCATGTGGGTGCTGGAATTAGAACCCGGGTCTTCTGCAAGAACAACCAGTGTTCTTAACCCCTAGTTATCTCTCCAGCCCCTAGTGTCATTGTTTTTAAGAAGTCTGGTCCCCACATCCTGCACCCCCAAATGTTCTCGGCACCAGTTAGTGGAAGCATAAAGCATAAAAAGATTGACCAGACTCAGTAACAACAACAGATGGAGGCCCTAACCCCACCTCCCCCACTCACAAACTCTACTCCGGTGATGTCCAGCAGGTAACAACTTTTAGGAGTTTTGCTATTTTTAGTCTGTAAATGCAAATAACAGTCTCTTCAAAAGACTGTGATGGAAATCTAACACCCTCCTGTATATAAAGTACTTGGCACTTCACAGTCAACACAGCCACCTTAGCCACTTGACAAATGGGTACTGTGCTTCTGTAAAGTGACTATCCCAAGTGTGAGTGCACACCAGAGTTCAAGACAGAAAATGCCAAGGATCCCATCAACACGATTTTATATGGATTATATAAATCGTATTCTTCTGAAATCTCTTAAGTAAAACTGCTAAAATTTCTTTTAAGTTCTTTTGATGTGGCTACTAGAAAAATTTAAGATACATGACCCGCACCACTTTTTTTAATGGGACAGAAACCCCGTTAGCCTTCCGCCCTGATCACAAAGTATACTAAAAGGTGGCATCCATCATCTTCTTGTCTTCGCTAAGCACAGGTTGCCGGTCCCTCCTGCTTCCCGACCTGGTTCTGTTCCTTCATTCCTCACGTTGCTTGTCCCGGGTCTAGTCTAGCAAACACCTCTCCATCCTCCCTCAACAGTAAAGGGACCAGCTTTGCAGTCCCTGGGGAAGAAAGCGCTCGGAGGGCAAGGTGGAGGCCGAGCCCGCGCGCCAGGGTATCGCAGTGGCCCAGGAGTCAGAGCCCGAGAGCGGCCTCGACCGAAGGGGAGCGCGAAGGAAAAAGGGCGGCCGGCATCGGCGGCAGGGGGATGGCCGGGCAGGCGCGTCCCCAGACTGGCAGATCCAATGGCCCTCCCACCTCCTTCCTCGATCCTCCATCCTCCGTCCTCCCCCGGCCCTTCCCACCCTGCAGATCTCTGCTGCGCCCGCGGGCCGCACGCAGCCTCCCCAGCCCTCTGCCCGGCCCCGCACGCCACCTCCCCGGAGCGGCCTCCCCTCCTCGCCGCCCACGGCCCCAGCTGCGCTCCACCCGGGGCCCCGAAAGCCCCTCCACTCACCAGGGTGCCAGCCGAGGCCCAGCTCTGCGCCCGCGTCCCGCCGCGGCTCCGCTGGCCTCGCGCGCCCCGCCCTCCTGGAGCCCCGCCCCACTCAGGCAGGCCTGGGCTCCTATTGGTCTGTGTTGCCGTCACGCTGGAATTCCTCTCTTTAATTGGGTTGTTGTCTGTCACTCAGGAAGAGGTGGGCCTAGTTGTCGGCGCGGGACGGAGGGACGCCGGCAGGCCCCGCCCCTCCAGCGGAGGCCTCTTAAAGAAACAGGACGCTTTTCTCCTGCTGGCTATTTAGTCTATAGGAATGTGATTCCCAGCAGACACTAGAGATTGCTCCCCACCCGAACTTTTTTTTCCCTTTTTGTTTTCTTTTTCTCTTCGTTTGTACAAAGCCTAGAGCATCCTTGCGACACATTATCATAAGGACCAAGCGGTCGCCTGATGGCCCTCAGCTCAACTGTGGGGATAACTGGTTTGGGGAACTGAGGGGGAGGTGACAGTCGTATCAGGCTATGAGCAGCCGCGGATGCTCACTACAGAGTTGGAGCTAATTATACCGGCACCCAGGGCTGACCGTGGGCGCTGAGCAGAGGCAGAGGGGTGCAGCTCAGCTGTGCTGCTGGGAGGGATCCGTGGGAGGTGGCATTCGTCACCGCACCTGCGGATCTAATGAGGCCGGGCACTGCTCCAAGGACTCACGCCTGCGATCTCCCTTAATGCTCACAGGGATCGGTGGGGAGGACAATTTGCAATCCCCTTGTTACAAAAGAGGAGACAGGACCTTAGGAGATCAAGCCTTCAGCTACTGATACACAACAAGATGCTAGCCTCTTCCTAATTATGAAGTTTATTCTTTTTTCATTTCTCTTAGCGGATCCTTAAGACAATCCCAGAAGACAGGTATTGTGTCATCCACTCTAAACTGACACTCAGCAGTTTATGGACGTTGTTGCATTGGATCCTGCGAACATACTAGTATTGAAGGAGATTCTTACCAGCCCTGTATTACTGGTGAATAGGGAGGTGCCCAGGGAGCAGGGTTTCCATCAGAGCAAGATTGCTGAAGCCCCTGCAGGGCTACTAGGCCCACAGAGCACTTGCTTTCAGTGCACAGCCCAAGTCATGGCTTTAATGAAAACCACCACAGACAAATGAGTGTGTCCATGTTCCATTAAAACTTTATTCAGGAAAAATCCATAGCCTGGGATAGTGTGCCCACTGTTGTCTACAACAGTGTGCTGACCACAAGGCCTTCACAACACCCTTGTCCTATCCATATTATCATTGCTTTATTATTAAAGTTTTATTAACATTCATAGTGTTCTAAACCGCCTCATTTTTGTGAGATGTTTGTCTTAAGATGGGGATTACAGGAACTCGGTCCCTGGGGAGACTTAAATGTCTACCCCTCCTAATAAAGCCCGAATGACAATCCAAAGTGTGATTCCACCAGCTTGGGGAACCAATAAGCATATTGGTCTTGCTTACAAAGCATGCATGAGGGGATGCTTACAAGGTGGGGAGGATCCCAAAGCAGCTGCACCACCAGAAAGTCTCACCTCAGCACAGACAGTAAGACAGTAGCTGCCCTGTAGCTTCATAGATGGACCCCCCACACACTGTCCCATAACCCCCCCCCCATATTGCCTGGATACAGGTAAGTGCACCCATGTTAAGCAATGCCTGAGGAAGTCTGTCGTATCCCCTGGAACGAGTTACAGATGGTTGTTAGCTGCCATGTGGGTGTTGGGATTTGAACCTGGGTCTTCTGCAAGAACAGTCAGTGTTCTTAACCACTGAGCCATCTCTCCAGCCCAGTGACTTTTTTTTGAAGACAAGATTTCATGTAACCAGATTGGTCTCAAAGTCATTATGTAGCCAAGGATGACCCTGAAGTTCTGGTCCTCCTGCCTCTACCTCCTGAATGCTGAGATTACAGGTGTGCGCCACCATGTTCAGCTTATGTAGTACCAGGCCCCATGTATGATAGGCAGCCATTCTAACTGAGCCACATGCCCAGCTCTGTTGCTGACTTGTTTAAAGAGCTAACCTCAGGATTTTTACCCACCTCTACCTTGACCTCCTCACATTCTGCACAGAAATCAAGTCCACGGTTTGCAATTCTTTGTCTTTGGAGCTTTACCTGCAGGTACTTAGGAATATGAAGCTGCCTGAGTACAGGGTCAGCTCTTTAAAAAAGCTACTGATAGGACAAAGATGGCTCATCCAGTAAAGGTGCTTGCCTCCAAGCCCAACAACCTAAGTTTAGTCCTTGGGATCCACAGGATGGAAGGAGAGAACTGATTCTGGTAAGTTGTTCTCCAACCTCCATACTGCCCTGGTACACATCCAATCAATTAATCGATCAGTGTAATAAAGACATTGTCTAAAAAGTCACTGACAGAGCTGGGCATGTGGCTCAGTTGGTAGAGTGACTAACTTTAGCGGTTGAGGAGCTCCCTGGAAGGTTGGTGGCTAACTCACAGGGGTGACAGGAATCTAAAGAATAGGCTTTGAGAAGGGCAGAGACCTGAGACACTTTGAGACTTTACATTGCCAAAACAAAGTAGTTCTATCCCTTTCTCCCTTCCTTGAGCAGAGCTTTCTTTGGTCAGAGTCAGAGTCCCATTGCCCAAATTTAGGCAACATTTCTACCTTTTAAAAAAAAGTCTTATTTATTCTTTTTATTTTATGTGTATGCAAGTATTGCCTGCATGTAGGTTAAGTGCACCTGTGTCGTGCAATGCCCATGGAGGACAGAAGAGGCTGTCAGATCCCCTGGAACTGGAGTTACAGACAGTTGTTAGCTGCCATGTGGGTGCTGGGATTCGAACCTAGGTCTTCTGCAAGAACAGTCAGTGTTCTTAATTGCTGAGCCATCTCTACAAGCCCCAACATTTCCACCTTTTAAGTGAAGAGGCAGACACCTGGATTGACAGCTCCACTCAGCACAAGAGGAAGGGCTCCTTATCCCTCCCTCCTAGCATCCTTCTAGGCTACCCCCGCTCTACCTCTGGGCAGCTGAGGTCAGGTACCCTGTCTGCCTGCTGGGATGGAGTAGAAGGAAACTCTCAGCCACAAGCCACAGTTAACCTAACACATTCTCAGGTACTGGTAGAAGCTTGTGAAGATCCCAGGCTTTGAAGTCACACAGACACTTCTGCTGTTTACCAGCTGTGGGCTCCAAAATGAGGTCCTGAATCTTTCTGGGACTCAATACAATGCAAGAGTAACAGTAACAGCCTTAATGGATAGCTATAAGAATTAAATGAGAGAAAGTAACTATAGAACACTTGGCACAATGCCTGGCACATAATAGGTACTTAACTAATTATGAGTTTTAAAATTTGTATGTGTGTGTTCTTGTGTGGTGTGTGTGCACCTATGTGTGCAGGTATACATGAGGAGCAGAAGTTGATGGCAACTCCATTTTTGCTATCCATTTTATTTATTTATTTATTTATTTATTTATTTATTTATTTATTTATGTGTTGGGCCATGGTGTACCATGGTGTGCATGTGGAGGTCAGAGGACAATTTGGGGAGTCAGTTCTCTCTTTTCACTATGGGTTCCAGGCCTTGGATTCAAGTCCTCTGGCTTACATGGCAAGTGTTTTCACTTGCTTAGACATCTTGTTAGGTCTCCACTGTAGCTCTTTGTTTTGTTTTTTTGAGATAGGGTCTCCCTGTAGCCCCAGCTGGCCTGGAGCTCACTATGTAGACCAGGCTGGCTTTGAACTCACAGAGATCCACCTGCCTCTGCCTCCTGAGTGCTGGGACTAAAGACATGCTTCACCATGGCAGGCTCCACGCTATCTTTTGAGATGGCATCTCTCATTAAACCTGGAGCTTGTGGTTTCACTTAGAATGGCTGCAAACCAGGCACGTAACGCCTTTAATCCCAGCACTTTAGAGGCAGAGGCAGGTAGATCTCTGTTAGTTCGAGGTCAGCCTGGTCTACATAGTGAGCTCCAGGCCAGCTGGGGCTACAGGGAGACCCTGTCTCAAAACAAACAAACAAAAATTTACAGACAAGTATTCCAGTCAGCACCCATCAAAGAAGCTCCTTTTTCAAAAGACAGATTATTACAGAGTTCCACAACTGGTCACACACTGAGATTGTCTGTGTATTGTCCAAAGCCTAAGTGGCACATCTAGGATGCAAGCTCTAAGGCTCGCAGAACACAGAACAAGGGATGAAGAGAACACTAATGCATCTTTCACTTCTCATAAATGAAGATCCCTCATGCAACAGAGGGCCAGGAAAGCAAAAGGTCACAATGGCCAAAACGTAGAAAATAAGAGTCTATAGCATGTGGGTCCTTGGACAGGACTCCTATATTAAACTCCACCCACCCAGGGCTTGGGGACCATTGAAGAAGGGGGGGGTGGAAAGATTGTAAGAGCCAGGGAGGAAGTGCATGATATGCAAATAGAGTCCTACAGGGTCCTTGGACCTTCCTCATAGGAACCTAACAATGGTGTCACCATGCACAGGATCCATGCAAACTCAAGCAGACCAAAACCCAGCACAGAACTGTGGAAACGGATAGCGGGCCCCAATTTTAGTAGAAGAATTATTGGCAGCTGATTACTGCTGGGTGAGGAAGAGCTGATCTTAAAGGGAGGGGCTCTAGATAAGATAACTAGACCTCAGGGGATGAACTTGCACTGAGGGACAACTGGGGACACTAACTTGACATAATAGGTCTTAACACAAATGACAGCATGTATGAATTCCAGCAGGGGGTAGGGGAGGGGGCCAATGAGGAAGAGGGTATAAAGATGATTAAGATGTTCTGTATGAAATACACAAAAATTCAATAAAAATTGAAAAAAATTAAATAAAAGAATGGCTGGCCAGGAAGTTACAGAGATCTGCTCCCCCCTCCCAAAACCTCAGTGCTGGAGTTACAGATGTGCATCTTCACGCCTGGCTTTTATCTGGGTGCTAGGATCTGAACTCAAGTCCTTATGCTTACACTACCCAGTGAGCCTCCTCTGTAGCCCTAAGTTTTAAACTTTTCAGTATGCAGTGAGTGGACTGTCTGTAGTATTTTGAGTTCTCCTATGTTGACATCTGAAACTGGAGCA